GTCTATTTCTAGCTTTCTGAGGAAGCACCATATCATTTTCCAAAATGGTTGTATCATTTTGCATTCCCACCAGCAGTGCATAAGAGTTCCGATCTCCCCGCAGCCTCTCTAACATTTGTTATTTCTAGTGTTTTTGGTTCGTGCCAGTAATGCCGGGGTGAGATATAGTTTTTCATTTCTAAAGAAGACTTTTTATTCTCTCGTGTTCAAATTATAACATTGTGGTCTCTTTTTTTTTTTTTCCTTTCTAGTTACTGGACCATTATCAGAATTGCAAATAGCCTATGTATGCAGAGAAACTTTACAGGTACTACATTTGCTTATATAGATAGAAAAACAATTCTTGTTTCACAATTGAAAATTCTAAAATGATAGTTGTCTAAAAGAAAAAGGATAAACCAAATGATTTTTCTGTTAGCCTCTTATAATCCTGTAAACCTATTTCTTTTGTGAATGAGTAGACAGAGTTTATTTAAACTGAGGCCAGTATACACAATGGTCATGTGTGGTATTCTTCTTTGTAGCACTTGACTCTCAGTTGCTACAAAGCTAAGGAAAGCCATGGGTGTGAACTGGTTATCATGAATAAGTCACTAGACCTGTCAATTGTAACAATTGTCAAAGCTTTTCCCTTCAAGTTTTATGAACTTGAATCTTCCCTTAAAGTTTTATGGCAGCAAAAGGAATCTCACGCACAAGACATGAGGGCTTTTTTTCCTCTGAAGTGAGAATAAATTAACACAACAATAACCAGCTTGTGATCCGAAACCCTAGTTCTATATGATATTAATAAATGTCATTGATAGCAGAATCCCTTTTTATAAGTTTGAAAAACTTTGTATTAAACAGAGTTCTTCAGGGCATGTGAGTGCTTTTAGTATGATAGAGTGGTTGTGAATCTTAAACAGGAATATAAAGTGTGCAGCACTGAGCCCAATTTATTTGACCATAGAATGTTTGGTCATAGCCTTGAGAACCCTGAGGTAGGCCGTTCTGCTGTGCAACACGAGTTTGCCATGAGTCAGAAACTACTTGATGACAGCTAGTGTTTTTTGGTTTTGCCATCTAATCAAAGACTATTAGGCATACAAAGTAGTATAATAAGGAGCAAAATCAACCCAGAACTGAAACAGATGTTAGAATTAGCAGACAAGGACATTAGAGCATTATAATAACTTCCCCAAAGAAGACATTCAGATGGCCACCAAACACATGAAAAGATGCTCAACATCATTAGCCATTAGAAAGATGCAAATCAAATTTACAGTGAGATACCATTTTACTCCCACTTGGAACCCTGGTGGCACAGTGGTTAAGAGCTTGGCTGCTGAGCAAAATGTCAGCAGTTCAAATCCACCAGCCGCTCCTTGGAAACCTATGGGACAGTTCTACTCTGTCCTGTAGGTCACTGTGAGTCAGAATCAGCTCAACGGCAACAGTATGTAACAGGATAGCTACAATAAAAAAAAAAATAACAAATGTTGGTGAGATGTGGGGAAATTGGAACCTTTACCCATTGCTGGTGGGAATGTAAAATGGTACAGCCATTGTGGAAAACAATGTGGCAGTTCCTCAAAAAAATAAAAATAGAACTACCATATGACTTAGCAATTCCACTCCTAGGTATATAGCCAGAAGACTTGAAAGCAGAGACTTAGAGACTCGTAGACCGGTTTTCATTGCAGCACTATTCACAGTAGCCAAAAGGTGAAAACAACCTAACTGTCCATCAACAGATGAATGGATAAATGAATGTGGTGCATGCGTACAATGGAATACTACTCAGCCAGTAAGGGAAATGCAGTCTTGATATGTGCTGCTACTACTCAGCCAGTAAGAGAAATGCAGTCTTGATATGTGCTGCAGTATGGATAGAGCTTGAAAACATTATGCTAAATGAAATAAGTCAATCACAAAAGGACAAATATTGTATGATCTCACTTATATAAAAAGACAAGAACAGGCAGATGAATAGAGACCAAAGCTTATTAGTGGGTACCAGGGGCGGGAGGGAAGGGGAAAAGAAGGGTTATTGCTTATGGAGTACTGAGTTTCGGTTTACGGTGATGGAAAATCACATTGATTAAGGGTAGGATTGCACAGCCAATTAATGTAATTGCTGTCAATAAGTTGTATACCTGTAAAAAGTTGAATTGGGAAAAGTTGTGTGATAGATATATTTACAACAATGACCAAAAAAAAGAATAGCTGCTGAGGCTATTCATGCAACCAAATACCTCATGGAATTTGGTTCCTTGGTTTGGAGATTTAGGGTCTTGGTTTAATGGGACATCCCAGTTACCATATTTGTATGCAGCAAAAACACCTCATGAGGGGTGGCAGGGGGTCAGTTGGCAAAAAAAATATTTTTGCATAAAAATACGGTAATTGGTCTAGTAACGCTTTTAGTGCTTCTGTTCTGCCTCCTAGTTCACTGGATAGTTCCTGGAGTCTTAAAAGCTTGCAGGCAGCCATCTGAGGTATAACTGTTGGTCTCTATTTGCCTGGATCAACAGAGGAAGGAGAAAAATCAAGAATAGGAAGAGGAAATGGAATGTGTGGCTGATTGCCTCCATGAACAACTGCCTCCTTTGCCATGAGACCAGAACAACTGGATGGTGCCCAGCTACCATTACTGAACATTTTAATCAAAGATTCTGTAGCAGAATCCTGATCAAAAGGGTGAAAATGCAGAATAAAATTTCAGATTCTCACAGAATCCAGATTTTCTTAAGCCATGGAGGCAGGACAAAGTCCTGAAACTATTGCCCTAGGATAATCTTTAACCCTTAAACCAAAAGTATCCCCTGAAGTCTTCTTAAAACCAAACAGTGGTTTAGCTTAATTAGTAAAGAATGTCTTCCTTGAGCATTGAGCTCTTTAAGCTGTATCTATATGGGATCAGATTGACATCAGCAACTCAAGATAGGAAACTTAGGGGGCAATGAGTTTATGTTAATGGAGGAGGAACATCTTGGAAAAGGAGTGTGAGAATGAAACTCAAAGAATATAATCAGTGTCACTGAATTGTACATGTAGAAATTGTTGAAATGGCCTGTGTTTTGATGTGTATATTCTCAACAACAACAAAAATAAAATATGAAAAAGAAAGAAGAAAGTTATTTACAGGCAGTAGATTCAAGGGTTTCTCCATTCTCAATGTGTTCAGTGAGTCCGGTTTCCAATAAGAATTTGAAGTTCCTTCCCACAGTGTTCCTCCTTTTGGTCAAGATCTGTCTACTGGGTCCCTGATCAAAATGTTTAGTAATAGTAGTATCATCCATTTAGAAGAATGAACTATTTATACACATATTAACACGAAGGAATCTCAGTTGTGGTGAATGAAAGAAACTAGACAGAAAAGAATACATACTGTATGATTTCACTTACATAAAACTCTAGAAAATGGAAACTGATCTATAATGACAGCGGATCAGTGTTTGTTGGAGGTGGGGGTGAGGAGAGAATGCAGGAATTATAAAAAGCATGAAGAAACTTTTGGGGAGTTGAGGGTTATGTTCATTATCTTGATTATGGTGTTTTTCATGGTATATATGTATGCCAGACTTTTTAATAGTGTGCTTTAAGTATGTACAGCTTTATTGTATATCATTTATTCCTCAATAAAGCTATTAAAAACCAAAAAAAAAAAAAAAAAACTAAGAGTTTTTGTTACTCTGAGAGTCTTTGCTTTAATTAATCATTATTCCAGTTTGCAGTTTTGCTAATAACATACTTCTTGTTTTTTTTAACCTTAGGGTCTTGCGTATTTACATACTAAAGGCAAAATGCATAGAGATATCAAAGTAAGTTCCTCTAATATGTTTAATTTTCTAATTCTGTTTGAAGAAATTTTATGATACTAAGTGACTAGTGTTTGTATTTTTGTTTTAGGGTGCAAATATTTTATTGACAGACCATGGTGACGTAAAATTAGGTACGTTATCTCAGTCTCCTAAAATGTTTTTCAAAATATTTTACTAAAATTTAAAATGACATTATACAAGTGTGGTATACATTTAATATTCATAACAAGAGCAACAATGATGTTCATCTTTTGACACATTAATTCTACTCATGAGACTCACAGTAAGGAAATTAATCCTAAAGATGAAAAACCCATATTCACAGAGGTATTAATCATAGAGTTATTTATAATAGACAATAAAATGCAAACAGATCTAGCAATAGAAGAGCCATTAAACTGTGATAAATTCACTTATGATATTGTTCAGTTGTCCAAATTAATACTGATGAAGAATATGAAAGAGGAAAATCCCCTGCTGTGTTAAATGACAAAAAATGAACATACATGTGTATTTAATTATTTTACAGTCTTGTTTAAAAACAACCACAAAAGAGTTATACACAGAAGAAAAGCTAACTTGGGTTGGGGTAAAAGGAATCAGGTGGATGTTTCACCCATGTGTGTTATTTGTATCTTGTTTTTTCCCCAAAATTAACTTCAACGTGCTTGTAATAATATTTTTAAGAATTTTATTCTTAATAAAGTACATTTTCATTCTAGTAAAATACCAGTAAATTCTTTTCTTCTAATGAGTATGTCATGAACAAGCAAGGGGAGATTTAGGTATTCAGTTTATGTACATTTTGTTAGCATTGGTATCTCATTATCAATAATGTCATGACTAAAGGAGACACTTAGAAATGTTGGTTGTTTTATTGACAAGAACTAAAATTTTCTGTGTTTTTTTTTTTCCCACCAGCTGACTTTGGTGTGGCTGCAAAAATAACAGCAACCATTGCAAAGAGAAAATCTTTCATTGGTACCCCTTATTGGTAAGACATTACTATTATTGAATTTGGTGCATTATCATTTCTTCAGTGTTAGTGATCAGCCTTGATGCTTGATAATACAAGTGATACTTGAGTGAAAATTGGGAGACTTGAAAATACTATCATAGTTCTGACTCGGTTAGGAAGCTTGCATACTCATTTTCATTGTCCAACTGTCCTTGTGTTAATGTTCTAATATTTTTACTGCCCTGGGATCTTGTTTTGAGAGGACTCATATATGAGATTTTACAAAAGAAAGACTCATTACTTCTTATAATTTTCTTCTATTATTGCTTCTATTTTAATCTGTAACTTCACTTCCTGATTGTTAGAATTCTTGCTTTCTGCTCTACCATTAATCCGCACCAAACCCAAACCAAACCCATTGCCATCAAGTCGATTTCGACTCATAGTGACCTTGTAGGACAGAGTAGAACTGCCCTATAGGGTTTCCAAGGCTGTAATCTTTATGGAAGCAGATTGTCATATCTTTCTCCTCCGGAGCAGCTTGTGGATTCAAACTGCCAGCCTTTCAGTTAGCAGCTGAACACTTTAATAAATAAATAATAAATTCTTTAATAAGCCGTGTTTGGATAATTATTTGGAAAGAAATTTAAAGTAGCTCCACACCTCATACCTAATGCCAGAATAAATTATATGTGAATTAAAACATTAAATATAAAAGTGAAACCAAAGGCAGTGACTATCTGCTTGCATAGTTGAGGAAACCTTTCTTAGAATAAAACCATAAAACCTTAAAGGGAAGGACTGATAGATTTAGCTACTTGAAAATTTAAAACTTACATATGTCCATCAGCTTAAGTGGACATCAACAAAATTAAAAAACAAGTAGCAAATCAGGAAATATTGGCAAAAATATGACAAACTAGCTTTAATATCTTTAATATATATTAAGTTCTTAAAAATCAATAAAGTCTTACTAGAAACAGTTGTAAAATAATAGATATAAAATGTCATAAAATATGAAAAGTTTATCCTCAACGATGAACAAAAATGCAAACGAAGTATACCAAACCAAACCCATTGCCATTAGATCGATTCTGACTCATAGTGACTTTATAGAACAGAGTAAAGCTGCCCCATAGGGTTTCCAAGGCTGTAAATCTTTGCAAAAGCAGACTGCCACGCCTTTTTCCCTGGAGCAGCTGGTGGGTTCAAACTACGAATCTTTCAGTTAGCAGCTGAGCACTTTAACCACTGCACCACCAAGGCTCCTTAAAGTACATATACAGTGAAATTCTTTTATAACAAATTGGAAAGTATTCAGAATCATGGGTAATACCCATTATTACTGAATATTTGATAGTGAAAGTGGAAATTGGTAGAAAAATTTTGAAGACTAATTCGGCAACAGTGTTTCAAAAACCTTAAAAAATGTTTATGTCCTTTAGTCACAGTAATTCTAATTGTTATAATTTTATCAGACAGGCATGTAGATTTATATATGAAGAGCTTTATCACAGTATTTTAGTAATGAAAAACTGAGGGAAATATGAATATATAACAGGAATTAGTTAAATCATGTAATTTAATGAAATAATATGCCCCTATTAAAAGTCACGTAAGATGATAAAATGGTCAGGGGAGAGGATCATGATAGACAATTTAAAAATCAAGATAAAAATGTAGCATGAGTATAGTACCATTTTATAAACAATATGTGTGTGTGTATATGTGTGTTTAAATAAAAATTGTGAATGAAAATATGTGAAACAGTCGCTCTCTCTGGATGGGATCATGCTTGAATTATTTTTCTTCCATTTTTTTTTAACACATTCCAAATTCTCTTTAGTCAACATATTACTTTTAATAACCAAACCAAAAGCCCACCGCTGTTGAGATTGATAGTGACCCTATAGGACAGGATAGAGCTGCCCCATAGGGTTTCCAAGGCTGTAAATCTTTACAAAAGCAGACTGCCACATCTTTGTCCTGTGGCTGGTGTGTTTGAACTGCCGGCCTTTCAGTTTGCAGCTGAGCACTTTAACCACTGCACCACCAGGGCTCCACTTTTAATAACAGGAGGAGAAAAAAACCCAATAAATATCACTTAAATAAAAGTTAAAAGAAAACATAGGTAAGTTAGATTGCCTCTGGAATTTTCTTCATCTCAGGTGTATTCCCTCCTCAGTCTGTCCTCCCTTGTGAATACTCTTTTCCAATTAAAACTGCCTTTTTTTTTGTACCCTGACTATACCAGATAAAATAATACTGTTTTAGTTTTTGCTCATTACCTCCCTAGAATACCCTTTTCTTGTGTTTATCTTAAGCTCTGCCCATGTGTAAGAGTGGCACACACTTCACCTTTCTTCACCCATGGCAGACTTATGCATCACAGCTCTCCTTCTCACAGTGCCAGGAAGTACAAGTGTCCTGGTCAGCTGCACTCCAGTTAGCCACCACTGACTGATTCCACTGGGCAGAGGAGATGAAACCCGTTTGTTTTCCCTTGGCTCCAGCTAAACCTCTTTTCCTCCATGAAACTTGCCTTCAATTATCTTTTTCCATGGTGATAATTGTCTTTTACATCTATACCCATATCTGCCCATTAGCTCTACCCTTCCCATTCCTGAAAAATATAGAGATGCTTGGCCCTAGTCATTAACTTAGAGTTTCTCCACAATTTCCTGGAAGGTTCTATTATATTGATCCCTCTCCCCCAATATAAGAAAACACTATATATACTTTTAAATATATAGTTCTAAGTTTTTAGTTGAAATATTTTAGTGACTAGTAAAGATTTCTGTTTTCTAATCTCTTTTGTTCAGCTGTAAAAAGTACAGTGACTGTAACAAGTAGTAAATTTCATCTCATTTTTTAAAAATAAAAATATTATATTCACTGATTCCTTCTAGGATGGCCCCAGAAGTTGCAGCAGTGGAAAAGAATGGTGGCTACAACCAACTCTGTGATATCTGGGCGGTAGGAATAACAGCAATTGAACTTGGAGAACTGCAACCACCTATGTTTGATCTTCATCCAATGAGGTGTTCTCATTATTTACAATTGCGTAGTTATTAATAAAATCTTCGGAAGAGTGTTAAGTACTGTTAAATTAGATGTTCCAAACTCATTTTCCAGTGTATCAACATGATAAAGATATCTGTGATGGACTTAGAGGTAATGTTATCTAAAACCTTTCCTCTGGTATTGCTATTCCTAATACTCTGTTTGAAGCTTTTCCATGAAAAAAACTTCCCTTAATAATTATACTAGGTGATAGCAGTTATCATCATTAAAAAGGTCTTTTTTGAGTCTTTATATGCATTCTTCCATCAACTGAATTTGTTTCTTTTTTATCTTAATTAGAATTTTAAACAAATGCAGATGAGATTTTTTTCATATTTCATTTGATTTTGTCTCTTTTTACTTTGTCTAGGGATAATGAAGAGATGGCTCTGCCTATAATTATTTACATTGTAGCATCTATTGTCTCAAAAAATATTTGAGGGCCTTTGGAAAGGTTTTTCAGTATTTTGAAGGAAAACATTAATTGGGCTAAGATTTAAACTTTGGTATAAAATTTAAAAGAAAATCAATAGAATGGAGAAAATGTTTCCCTTACATATGATAAAGGATTAATGTTATGTATTACATAAGGAAGTCATTCAGAGACACAAACAAACCCCCAACAGAGAGGGGTTGTTTATGAGCAAGTACCAGATACTAAAGAAACATGGAAAACCTTTGACCTCACAAGTAACTAAAGATATACAAGTTAAAAGATGCTTACTTTTAGCTGGAATGCAGATAAGTGCAGACCTTTAGGAAGATAACTTGATGTTATTTGTTAAGGGCATATAAATGTTTTCAGTGTCCACTATTTAGAAATTACATTTAGGAAATAATCCAAGAAAAGAAAAATCTAAGAATTGTGCATTTTAGGATAAAAGGGAAAAAGTCTAAATGTCCAACAGTAGGTGAATTGTTAAGTATAAATTATTATTTAGCAGTTAAAAGCAGCTATTACATATGTATAAATCAAAGCAGTATGGAAATTCAGTATTAGTGAAAAAAGAATGCAGGATTATAATTATTATAATGTAATAATTGGTAAGCACTTAGATAAAATCTAAAAAGAACAGCAGAATATTTTAAATAGTTAATATCTTAGGGTGGTGGGAGTACAGGTCTTTTCTTTTTTGGTTTTCCTTTGTATGTATGAATCATTTAATAACTTAAAAACAAAAAATAACTTTGATACAATAAAAAAAGACTAAAGAGTCTTCTTAGAAACCTGGAAGGAGTTTTATAGGAAAAGATGAAATAGAGCATTTTAGAACTTCCTTTTTAAATCCTCCATTCTTCTACCTGCATATAATCCAGGGGAAAATGGGTCAAAAGTGAATTCATAGAGAAAGTCCTCTTTCAGTTGACTTCTGTATCATTCATGTAATGTACAGGAGAAATGGGAATATGGAAAATTACTATCTAAAAAGAAAACATCAGGAAATGGATGGGATTTGCTTAGAAATGGGAATATGGAAAATTACTATCTAAAAAGAAAACATCAGGAAATGGATGGGATTTGCTTATACATACAAAATAGTAATAGAGACCAAACATTGGTTAAAGATGCAACCTAATATTAGAGTAACATGTTATCTCTTTGTGTTACAGAATGATAATACAATTATATAGACGTGCTTAAGATGTAATACTAGTTATATTTGTAACAGTATGGTAGTAAAATCCTTCTCTAACATTTGGTTGCTTTGCCTTGTGAATAAAGGCTTGCTTGAAATTTAAAGATCTTTTCTATAGCCAGGAGAAATTTTCTGTGAACTGTCCAAAATATGAAAAACTCAGTTTGTATATTTATACTAGTTTTCATCAGTGCCTACAGATGTGGGAGTCTTATATAAATCCATTATAGAGTATTCATTCTGATTACCAGATGTAGTAATACAAGTATTTTGGTATTGCTCTTGTTTAACTGAAATTTTTATTTCAGGGCTCTCTTCTTAATGTCAAAAAGTAATTTTCAGCCCCCAAAACTAAAGGACAAAACAAAATGGTAAGTTAAAGAATGTATGGATTTATGCAGTTGTACAGTTGGAATTAACACAGGTTCGGTCCTCCTTTTATAGATGATGAAATTGAGGTCTAGAGGCATTAAGCAGTTTGCCCAAAGTTGCACAGGTAGTTTACTTGTACAGCTATGGCAAGGATCTAGATTTATTTTTTGGTCCAACGTCCCTTTCTAATCCACTGCTGCCTCGTAAAAACTCAAAACCACTTTCTTCGCCTTTTGGCGGCTTGGGTAAGACGTATGGTGAGGAAAGGATTTGAAATGGCTACCAATGGATATCCAGAAAAATGGATACATTAAGATTTTGGAGATTTATTTATTTTTTGCCTGGCATTCCATTACTTCCGTTTACATGCTGACTCTAATGGGAGATGATATGAAAAGGTTTCCCAGATACCATGACACTTAAAATCAGTCTCTATTGGGTTTCTCTCCCTTCTTTCATAATATTCAAAAAAGGTTATTATTTTCATCCTCATCTCTTCTTCCTCATACAAAATAAAATATTGTACCTGTCCTGTTGGTCCATACGGATGTCTTCAATTGGATGATAAAAATTACTTTTCTGGTGATATCTTCCTCATACCTTTAATAAAAGAAACTATGTAAATAAAAATTTCTAAGTTCCTAAATTTAGGAATTATTAAACTAGATTATATGAATTTCTTGGAGCCATAAGACCCCACAATTCTGTACATATATCCATTTTTTTCTGGGGAGGGAATCCATAGCTTATTTCAGATTCTAAGAGGCCCCTCCCCCGAAAAAGGTACTAATTCACTGCTTTATGCTTCATTATTAGCCTGTTTGTGCATAGTATTATTTAGGAGCCAAACTGTTCTGGGGATGATGCCAGGAGTGAAAACCAAATTACACTGTGGAAGACAAGGAATTTATATAATATTGTTAGCTGTATTCTTTTGTATTGATGCTGGTTTCTTTCTGTTTCTGTACCCTAAGTTCCCAGGCATCTGAACTGGAAGACTCTATGGCAGGAATGACTGCAGATTCAGGAGTGAGCGACTGTAAACAGTAAATTCACAGTCAGATTCTATGCAGTCATTACCATTCAAGAACCTTTGCCAATCTCAGATACTATCTGACTCCATGCTGTCTCTGCCAAATGAGCCACCGAATGCAATGCAGTAATTTGATTTCTCTACAGAGAACTGCTGTGTGGTTGCCTTCATTGCTGATCACTCAGATTATTCCATCTCTTTGGTTCTTGCCAGTCCCTTCACCAGTGGAATTTTGGCAATGGTGGAAATACACCTCTTTGTCATTATTTAATAATCAAAACATGATTTCTTTAATTATGTTGTATCTTCTTCCTTTCCCCACCTTATGGATGCAGTTGGCTAGAAAATCCTTCTGATTTGTAAAATTGCTCTCTCTTCTTTGTCCTCTTTCTTAAGAAATTTAGTGGCCTTTTTAGGATTTAAACAGTCTTTTACACTACCCACTCTACCTCCATGCTATCCAACTCTTGGTATAGCAACAACACTTACTTGTTATATAAATTAGGGAATGAGAAAAGATCATTTTGATTCCTAAGTAGTACCTAGAACACAGGATTATAAATCATATGACACAGTCTGCCTTATTCTATTTTTTGTGTATTTTTTAGAGGTTTTATATTACTATTCTGTTACCTAATTGCATTTTGCTTAAGAAATAAAAAACTGAAACAGATGTTTCCAAGTAATATACTATGCTAAGGGGTTTAATTTTTTGGCTTGTATAGGGCTAAGAGGCTTAAAGGAAAAACCATGTACTTCAGATTTTCTAACTGCTTGTAAGTTAATTTTATTTAGTAACACCAAAAAACTAATATTAGTGAAATATTTTTGTACATGTCTCTCTTTATTTGAAGGTCATCAACATTCCATAATTTTGTCAAAGTAGCGCTAACCAAAAACCCCAAAAAAAGACCAACTGCTGAAAGACTTCTGACTGTAAGTCATTTAAATTCTAGGGGGGTTTCCTGTAGTCAGACAGCAATTAGCCTATCATTAGAACAAAAGTATTTAGGTTTTTTAATATAAAAATTTTAATGACCTTTTAGAGCAGGGGTTGGCAAACTCTGTTAAGGGCTAAATAGTAAATATTTTAGGCTTTGTGAGCTATATAGTCTCGTTGCAGCTACTCAGTTCTGCCATCGTGTGAAAGCAGCCAGAGGCAGTGCATATGAACAATCATGGCTGTGTTCCAATAAAACTTTATTTGCAAAAAGAGGTAGTGTACCACATTTTGCCCATGGACCATAGTATGCCAACCCTTGCCTTAGAGAAAGCTCTTAAAAATGTTACTGTCATCTAAAATTGTTTTTCTTGGCTTCCTGTGTAAATTTACGGAATGCTCTGTGAGTATTTGTATGTTTAAAACACTTCTATATTAGAAAAAGTCAGTGATTACAACCACCCAAGAGTTTTATTGAAATGTTATAGTATTTAATTATATATGTGTCTTTGTACATTAACACAATGTTACTAAATTAAACATAATAGAATACTTGTGATTGTATTTTTTTTCCCTGTAGTGATATTGGACTGTCCGTAATATTTATTTGCCTGTCAATATAATGACATCGGTAATGAATGTCATTGGTATAGACATGGTGAAAATTTTATCTGTAATGTAGATTAAATAACTCTATATAGAGAAATTATTCGTGTTATAAACTTACCCCACAAAGGTTCTTTAGTTATATAGTTCTGTATTCTCTGCTAACATTTTTACTAATACACTTTCTGATTTATTTGTATTAGTAGGTTCCTATATGCGTGTCTCTGATAGTTACTAGGAGCTGTGGTTAAGAGCTCAGGCTGCTGACAAAAAGATCAGCAATTCAAATCCACCAGCTGCTCCTTGGAAACCCTATGAGGCAGTTCTACTCTGTCCTATAGGGTTGCTATGAGTTGAAATCAACTCAGTGGCAACGGGTTTGGGTTTTTTTTGATAGTTACTAAATGTAAACCACAAGTAACATTTTATATATGCCACAGATGTAAAGACATGTTCATGAAATCTTGTTTTGTTTTTGCTTAGCATACTTTTGTTGGACAGCCTGGTCTCTCTAGGGCACTAGCGGTTGAACTGTTGGATAAAGTGAACAATCCAGACAACCACGCACATTACAATGAAGGAGATGATGATGACTTTGAGGTAAGGAAGTGTTTGCAGTTTAATATTTAAAAACAAATGTTTAATATGGCCTTAGAATTTGTTTTCTAATGCAAGTTTTCACATTAGTTAAGATAGGTGTAGCTACAAAGATCAACAGTGTAAACTACACTTCCCCTGCATGTAAGTACTGGTTGATACTTTTTCTTAATTCTGGTTCTCAGCAGAACTAGAATTACCGTTCTCCTTATCACTGTCTCTCTTATTTTTTTCCCCCTTAGTTTGCCTAAAGATTTTAAGAGGTAGCTGAGATTAGAATCAGGTGTGCCCCTTTTTCCCTCAGAAATCTAAAAGTAGTTGTTATTTATCTCCTCTATCCTTTTAGTGTTTTCCCTTCTCTCCAGACCTCAGCTTCTCAAGCGGAAGTTTGATCTTTCTACAGGACATACATAAAGGACATTTGTTTCCAGGGAATAAAAGTTTTAAGAATATTGCATTGGACTAAGAGAACAGAAGTTTAGCCACAACACTTGTACATATTATTTTTCACAAAAAGTGACTTCCTAGGTCATTTTTGTAGTTTCTCTGTTACACAAATCATCACCCTTGTCGACGAGTCGATTCCAACTCATAGCGACCCTATAGGACAGAGTAGAACTGCCCAGTCGGGTTTCCAAGGCTGTAATCTTTACAGAAGCAGAGTGCCACATCTTTCTCCTGCAGAGTGGCTGGTGAGTTCAAACCACTGACCTTTCAGTTAGGAGCCGAGTGCTTAACCACTGCACCACCGGGGCTCCTTCACATACAGATCATTAGCAGAATACAGATAATTTTAAAGATTTAAGTTGAAATTCTTAGAAAATTTTCTCCTTTCTGATACTTTTTGGAAAATGTTGTTAGTATGTAGGGCTATTCAAAACTATGCTTGCTTTCTCAGAAAGTACTGTAGAATTATTTTGAATATATTACATTTAACAGCACAACTTGTAAATAAGAGTGAGGGACTTCCTGCCCGTTGCCAGGTACCTGTTTATTACACAAGTGTATTTTTCACCAGCGTCTCTTCCTCTCCTTTTGTGATTCGTTTTTACATCTCTGTTTCTGTGCATCTGTCTTTTCATTTCTTTTTATGCCTTATTTTCCTTTTTATGTCTACTTTTATTTCTAGTAAGAGTATAGAACTAAAGTTTGCATATTATTTACTAAATAGAATTTTCTACTTCATGTTCTTTAGTTTTAAATTACACCTAATACGTATCATAATAAATACTAACAGTGAGTATACGTTGTGTGCCAAGCATTATGCCAAATAATTTCCATGTTGATTCATCTAATATTCAAAACAGTCCTTTGAGGTAGGTATTATTAATACCCTCATTTTACAGATAAGGAAATGAGGGACAAAGAATGAAAATAATTTGCCCAAGGTCACACAGCTAGTAAGTGGTAGAGCCAGGATTTGGATCCAGGGAAACTGACTTCAGAGTCTCCTCTCTTAGTTAATACACCATCATTTCTGTATACACACTTAGTAGAAACAGTCATTAGGAGATCTTTAAAAGCTAATCTTTGTTTCTCCATTGCCTAGTATGTAGCATAGTCCTAGCATGTAGTAGGGTACTCAGTGAATCTTTTGTTGAATGTCAAATGAACTTTTATTGAAAATATTGAATAAATCAGCCATGCATAGAATTTTTTCTACTTAAGCCATCATTTTCAGATTTGGGATTGATAAATAAGATCATTAAAAATTTAAAAATTATTACACCTTAAAGGTAAAATTGTGTATTACTTGATTCTCCAATTACTCTCCACTGGTTATGTTAATAAATAAGTCTTTTATTCCCCACACCATTTTGCTGGGCTTCCCAAATCTGCTTTACCCTCTAAGTTCTCTATTTCTGTTTAATTGTATCACCATACTTTTTCTTCCTTCAAATGCAAAACCTTGTACCAGGCAGTTGAGAACACATTGGTAGATGAGACTGATGCTACCCCTGCCTTCAAAGAGCTTACCATCTCAAAGGAAGTTCAGAAACACCAGCAAGTAATTTACAAGTGTGATAACTGTTATGGAATGGGAAATATAGAATGCTTTAGAGATATAGGGAGAGGAAAGGACTCACTGTAGAAGTAATATTTAAGCTAAAAATCTGAAGGATGAATTGAAATTAGAAGAAGAGAGCAGGCATTTGTGTTGTGAGCAGAGGGAATATAGTGTATTTGAAAGCCAAGTGATGAAAGAAACGGTGGTACTTGAGGAACTAAAGAAAAATCAGTCTGGCTAGAGCAGAAAACAAGGAAGGAAGTGGTGGGAGATGAGTTTACAGAGCTAGGTACTGGCCATTGCAAACCATATTAAAAATGTTGGGCTTTAAAAGCCTAAGGGCAACACAACAGAGGGTCCCTGATGGAGCAGTAGAACGATGGGATGCAGAACCCAAATTCTGCTAAGACGACCAGACTTAATGGTCTGACTAAGACTGGAGGCGCCCTGGAAAGCATGGCCCCTGGTCTCTCCATCACCCCAGAACTAAAACAGTTTCCGAGGCCAACTCTTCAGACAAGGATTGGACTGGACTGTGGGACATAAAGTGATACTTGTGAAGAGTGTGCCTCCTAGACAAGTAGATACAAGAGACCAAAGGGGCGGCTTCTGTCCAGAGGTGAGAGGGGAAGGCAGAGAGAGTTAGGAGCTGGTTGAATGTTCATGGGGAATCGGGCAGAGGGGAGGAGTGTGCTGTCCCAGAATGGGGTGAGTGGTTGGAGCCTCATAACAATGTATGTTTAAAAAAAAAAAAATTCTGTATGGGAGACTAACTTGAAATGTAAACTTCATTTAATTACAACAATAAAAATAAATAAATAAATAAAAGCCTAAGGGCATTCTCCTAGTCAGTAGCTTGTTGTGATGCTTAAGGCTGTGTGTCAGCTTGGCTGGGCCATGATTCACAGTGGTTTGGCAGTTATATAATGATGTAGTTTGGCAGTTATGTAATGATGTAGTCATCCTCCATGATGTGATCAGCCAATCAGTTGTAAGGAAAGTTTCCTCAGGGATATGACCTACATCCAGTATATATATGGATGTCTGGTAAAGCCCACATGCTTGCTCTGTATCCTGCATCTGGCTCATTGTCATCTGACCTCTGGTTCTTGGGACTTGAGCCAGTGGCCTGCCATATTGCCTGCTGATCTTGGGATTCGTTGGCCTCCACAGCCTGTGAGCCAGCAGCCTGCCATCTTACCTGCTGATCTTGGGTTCGTCAGCCGCTGCAGCTGCATGAATCAGGAGAAGCCTCCAGCATGATGCCTGACCCACAGGCTTGGAACTTGCCAGGCTTTACAACTGCATGAGCCATTTCCTTGAGATAAATCTCTCTCTCTCTCTCTCTACATATGTGTGTATGTGTGTATATATATACATGTCTGTTATATACATACACGCACACACACACACACACACACACACACACACATACACATACATGTGGAGCCCTGGTGGTGCAGTGGTTAAGAAACTGACTGCTAACCAAAAGGTTGACAGTTAGAATCCACCAGCCGCTCCTTGGAAACCCTGTGGGGCAGTTATACTCTGTCCTGTAGGGTCTCTATGAGTCTGAATTGATTTGACAGCAATGGTATATATGTATATGTATACATGTGTGTGCATGTATGTATATATATAGATATATATATACACTTCACTGGTTTTGCTTCTCTAGAGAACCCAGGTAAGACACTTGTCTTTTTACTTTTTTGGTAAAGTCTTTTGATGAACAAAAGCTTTTAATTTTTATGAGGTCCCATTTATTTATTTTGTCTCTTGCTATTTGTGCTTTTGTTATTATATTAGATAATCCATTTTTAAAAGCTAGACCTGACAGCATTGCCCCTACTTTTTCTTCTAAGAATGTCTTTGGAAACCACATATCCAAAAACAATCTGATAACCAAAATATTTATAAAACTTCAGTCAAGAAATCAAACAACGTGTTGCATTGGGCAAATGTGCTGCAAAAGAACTCTTTACAGTGTGAAAAACAAAGTTGTCATTTTAAGGTCTGAGGTGTACTTGACCCAAGCCATGGTGTTTTCAGTTGCTTCATGTGCATACAAAAGCTGGACAATGAATAAGGAAGACAGAAGAAGAACTGATGCATTTAAATCATGGTGTTGTTGCAGAATATTGAATATATGATAAACTGCCAGCAGAACGAACAAATCTGTCTTGGAAGAAATAACAGCCAGAATGTTCCTTGGAAGCAAGGATGGCAAGATGACTTCTCACATACTTTTGGACATGTTATCAGAAGAGACCAGTCCCTAGAGAAGGACATCATAGACAGTCAGTGAAAAAGAGGAAGACCCTCAACAAGATGGATTGACACCATGGCTGCAGCAACGGGCTCAAGCATAACAGCCATTGTGAGGATGGCACAGGACTGAGCAGTGTTTCGTTCTATTGTACCTAGGGTCACTATGAGTCAGAAGCGACTTGACGGCACATAACAACAACATATAAAACTTTGACACCTTAACGACAAAAAGATGAATAACCCATTCATAAATGGGCAAGGACTTGAATAGACATTTCACCAAGGAGGACATTCAAATGGCCACCAAACACATGAAAAAATGCTCAGCGTCATTAGCCATCTGAGAGATGCAAATCAAAACCACAATGAGATACCATTTCACTTCTACTAGGATTGCTAAGATTAAAAAAACAGAAAATAATAAATGTTAAGAAGGATGTGGGAAAATTGAAACTCTTACCCATTGCTGGTGGGAATGCAAAATGGTTGTGGAAAACACTGTGGCGGTTCCTCAAAAAACTAAAAATAGAACTATCATCAAAAACCAAACTTGTTGCCGTCAAGTCGATTCTGACTCATAGCAACTGTGTAGGACAGAGTAGAACTGCTCCATGGGGTTTCTAAAGTTGAAATCTTCACGGAAGCAGACTGCCACATCTTTCTCCCGCTGAGTGACTGGTGAGTTCAAACCACCAGCCTTTCGGTTAGCAGCTGAGCACTTAACCATTGCGTGGCCAGGGCTCCTTAGAACTACCATATGACCCAGCAATCCCACTTCTAGATATATACCCAAAAAGCTTGAAAGCAGAGACTCAGAGATTTGTACACCAGTGTTTGCTGCAGCACTATTCACAATAGCCAAAAGGTGGAAACAACCTAAATGCCCATCAACAGATGAATGGATAAATAGTATGGTGTACATACAGACAATAGAATACTACTCAGCCAGTAGGAGAAATGAAGTCTTGATACATGCTACAGTATGGATGGAGCTTGAAGACATTATGCTGAGTGAAATAAGTCAATCACAAAAGGACAAGTATTTTATGACCTCACTTATATAAAAAAAAGAAAAGGCAAAGTATAGACAACAGAGTTTATCAGTGGTTTCCAGAGGCTGGAGGGAGCAGGGGAAGGGGTGGTTAACAATGATGGAAATATCACATTGATTAATCAGCCGATTATTGTAATTGCTGTCAATAAGTTGTACACTTATAAAACGTTGAATTGGCAGAAGTTGTGTAATAGATAATATTTACAATGACAAAAAAAAAGAATGTTTCTTCCAAAATTTAAGGATCAAGGGAAAAGGAACTGGCAAATGAGATTGGTAAGGAACATTGAAATAAGAAAGGAGAGTTTCAACGAGGATACTGCCTAGAAGTTAAGTTAAAGTAGCCTTTGTATTTTAAGTGTTGTTTGATGATTTTAACAAGGGTAGTTTTCAAATAGTGGAGGAGAAACTAGATTGGAGTGTTTTGAAAGGTAAGTACAGTAATTCATTTACAAAATTTAGTTGGAAAAGGGAAGTGTAGGATAGAGCAGTAAGTAGCTAGAGGAGAATGTGTTGAAGAGAGGATGTTTATTCATTTATTTTTTAGGTGAGGGGGGTGCTTGAACAGGTTTAAATTCTTGTGAAAAGGATCCAATAGATAGATGATTCAAGAGAGGCAATAGGCAAAGTCCCCGAGAATGAAGGAGAAACTGGAATCTAGAGTATGATGAGGTACTTGGTTTTAAACTTCTTCCCTTGCATTAGTGAGGAAGATGATAGTATAGCTAGAAGTTAAGTCCTATGTGATGACTTCGGTTTTTTTGTGAAGTGACAGGTTCATCTGAAAGTGAAGGAAATTGGTGGATTTAAAGAGTGTGGAGAAGGTATGAAATAGTAATTGAAGAGAATGGATGGGTAAAATAACTAGGGAAGTGTTTGTGGGCAAACTTGAGGGCTCAGATGAGGTGAGTTTTCAACGTTTTCTGCTTTGTAATTTTTCTCCAGCAGTGATTGATAGCTCAGATGTGAACACAAAAGTAGCTACTTAAGTTCATCCATGGTTGGCATTTTGCCATGCCAGTGTACTGAAGGACAGTGGGGCAAAGGGAGCTTAAGATATTGGCAAGGGATTCCTTGAAATTGGGGACCACTGGATCTAAACCAGGGCTTTGAACCAGTTCATTCTGGTTCTAACGCCTGCTCAGAATTTGCATTTCCACCCCCAGCTAGACTGAATCAGAATCTACAGTTTAGCAAGATCCCCAGGTGATTCTTAGGTGTGATAAATTTTGAGAACCACTGCTCTACTGTTAGTTCTCAGAATTGGTCCCTAACCAGCAGCATTAGCATCGCCTGGGAACTTGTTAGAAATGCAAATTCTCACTAGGGGTTTGAACCAGAACAAACAGGTTCAAAGCCCTTATCTAAACTGGATAGGGAGAAAAGTGAATATAGACAAGATGTTGATGCAAAGTGAGAAAGTAATGGATCCATGGACTTGAGCTTCTCAATGGGAACATAAAACAAGTGCAGTGGGAGTAATTGCAAGTTCAAAGGATCTGACATTTAGAATATAGCCTGAATTTGGAATATTAGAGTTGATGACAGGATCCAGGATATGATCCTAGGAGTAGAGGATGCATTGAAGTACAGGAGAATGTCTTTAGAGATGAAGTCATAGAACTTAAGTCCAGAACAATGGATAGTACATCAACCTGGGCCTTTGAAGTTCTTTGGTGTGAAGGTAGGTCTTGAACTAGAAGGGAAAAAATATGAACCATTTTCAGAGTCATCAGTTAGTGAGAAAGAGTCATCAGAAATTTGGTACATAGAAGTTGAGCTGAAGACATAGCTTCAAAAGAGCAAGAGCTTATAAAAGAGGGTGGAAGTATGGAAGTAGTAAGCCTCTCACTTGGCTTGCTACATACAGTATTCTTACCTGATCTTCTTGCATCCAGTATTTCTCCCCTCTGTGCTCTCTTACACACTTACCAGATTACACATAAAGTCTGACTTTTGTGATGCCCCTCCTTTGCTTTAAAATCTCCCAGAATTCCTTTTTTGGACAAGAAAATAAAGTTGAGAGCTCTAAGTTGGCATTTAGAGCCCTTCATAATCTGGTTTACCCCACTCTTTTCAGTTTTATTATCTTTTCACCTAATCATCACTGTAGCCAAATAAAAACCCACCTCTCGTCCCTGTAAAAACTCCACAGTTTCTTTTTCTTTCTTGCATCACTTTGTTCATGTTCTTTCTGCTGTCTAGAATTCTCCCACATATCTACATATCCAAAGCCTACCTGTCTTTCAGGGCCCCAGATGAGATTACAATTCTTTCATGAAGAACGCTATACCCCTCCAGGTGAAAGTCCTTTCTCCTGCTCTGGGCATTAAGAGTAATCCATTTATCTTCTTAATAACATTTATTTTCTTTCTTGTATTTGTCTCTGTTTCTCATCTTCCTAGACTCTAAGCTCTTTGAGTACAGGATCCCTGTCTAACATGTCTTTGAATCTCTTTAATATTTCACACAGTATAAACGTGCAATAAACTTTTAAATTATTTTACTCTTGGTTGTTTTATGTTTATTGTATAATTTATTAGTAAATAATCGTATTTGTCAATAAAGTGCCACTTAATTAAAAAGAGAAAGTTTGACCTTTTAACTTTATCTTTGAAATTTGTTGAAGTGTGTGTATTATGCTTATATTCACAGCCCCATGCAATCATTCGTCATACCATTAGATCTACAAAAAGGAATGCCAGAGCTGAACGGACAGCTTCAGAAATAAATTGTATGTGTCTGATATATATTTTCAGTTGGTGTTTTTGGAGGATTGAATTGGATGTTCTTGTATTTTTAATGGAATAATAAAATCTCAGACTAATTGAGGCTACATACTTTTAACATATCAGAATATCTGGATCTTCTAGGCAATAGTGGGATTGTTCATTCTAACTAATCTGATTTCATACACCCAACTCTGACACCCTAGCTATATTAGCTGTAATGTTGTAGAGACTGGAGTTAGGGGCAATATTCCCAAACGTGTAAGATGCTCAGTTTTTGGTTCACTAGGAGAGAGTTAATGAGCTCCTGAGGGAATTAAAGCAAAAAAACAACAGTACAGTTTAGGTTAAAAAAGTTTGAGAATTTCTGAAAGTTGGCCAACTTAAGTTTGAAAATTCCATTTGTCCTTTTTATTTTACCTGAAGACTGAAGATAATAAATAATAAAGGCAATGGAGATTGTTAGTATAAATGAAATCTCTCATTTCAGTTGCTGATACTGCTATATGTATTCGGATGTAGTTCATATTTCAGTATAACTTTAACCCTACAAATTTATGATACTCATTTTCCCTAGGAATTTTTTTAAGTCTTTATATTTTCTGGGTATATAGTTCTTGTTACTAAAAAGTGATATTTTATTTCTTTCTTTGCCATATTGTATGCCGTTTAGAATTAGTCTCTATTTCAAGAGTGAAGTGGTTCTTCATGAATTGTAGTATGGCTCTTGAATTAAAATTTTTAAAATTATGTTAAAAAATAAGTCATTAATGGCTAGCTCATTTTATTTTAGATTATTAATAAAAATTAGATACTATATTTTATAGGATGTCTTCCAAGCTTTTATTGAAAATCTTATGTCTTAACTTTTATTGAAACTCTTCTGTTGTAATGTGATGAATAAGTTATCAGTACTTTGTATTGCTTTACAAATCTTGTTTTTAGTGATAAGGACAACTGGATCCTATTTGAGAGGGCTTTTTTTAATGTCTGCTAAGATTGTATTTAGGAATCTTATATCTCTGTGATCCAAGCATGAATGTTTTATAATTTTTTTGACCTTTTTTTCACATTGGATTTTAGGATTTCAGAATTCTGTGTACTTTTTGAGTAGATGATAAGCCATCCTGTTCTATGGTTTAGAATATGTCATATGAAATAAATTATTCTTTGAATATTTGGGATAATTCTGAAATCACTCTGACTGGGCTAGATAAAATACACATTTAGCAAAATACAATATCAGGTTCCTGAATACGAGTATAACATTTAACTTGACAAAAATTATTTGTTCTTTTAGTAGCTTACAGGTAATATTTCTTGGTTCAAGTTTTCCCTGAAATTATAACTTAATTTAGTCTCAAAATAGTCTGCAGCCTAGATAGAGAAAATTCTAACATTTTTTCCCTTAATCATCTACTTGTAATTAATTTTTTAAAATCTCTTTTGCATAAAATGTGCTATATAATTTTCTGACTTCAGTCCAGAATTAAGTAGAGATGTTACCAAGGTCCTAGATAGTTACTTTGTTTTGGGTAAGCGTAAAGAAAAAGGAGTAGTCGTCTAGTACTTCTTCCCCGTTTTCTCTTGACTCCCACCTCCCTCTGCACGTACATGTACTTCTCATTACGTTTCTGAGGTTAGTCCTTTAAGGTATTGAATTGTAAATATTTATTCTATATTTTTCAGTTGATAAATTACAGTTTGAGCCTCCTCTGAGAAAAGAAACAGAAGCACGGGATGAAATGGTAGGAATTGTGACTTTTAAAGTATTTTACATGTTAGAATATGAGAAAACATATATTGAGGTGTACTTTGACCAGAGTGCAAAGTAATACAGTCATTCAAGCATTAGGTTTGACCCCTCCTGAGTCTTTTAAAAAATTTATATGAAGTTATTAAATATATGGAATCTGATATTTAGCTTTAGCTCTCAGGATCTTTGTTCTTATTGCTGTGTCAGGTTTGTAATAGATACTACATTTTTATGTTCCTTTACTGTTTTTTTTTAAGTATTTATTTTGTTAATATACCTTTTTTTTTTTTTAACCATTACTCTTATTTTGAGGTTACTATTTAGTCAGTCTTTTCCTTATCTAAAAGGAAAAAAGTAATAGATAAATCACCCTAGGTAGATTGTCTGTATTTGTACCACCATAGTTTTTATTTCTAAATAATAGATTTCAACTACTAGTATTTCATTTTAAAATGTAATTTTTGCAAATAATTTACTGTTTAATTTTGTTCAGTAAGAATTTTGCTGTATTCATTGTATATGCTTGATATAACCTTAACATCTCATTTATTTTTAAGCTTTAATGAAAGCATAGTTTCTAGAGTAATTGTCTTCTGTTAAGTGACCTCTTTGTCCTTGATGTTGGAATCAGCGCTTTTCTTACTGTATATACGAGAGTATAAAAAATTCTCAATTTCTGTGCTAGTAGGAAAAAGTAGTAGCACCAATACATTAATGATAAAATTTAATAATATGATGTTTATTTCTCCATGCTAATGGAGTAGTGATGCTTTTTCTGTTTAGCTTTGGAATATAGTAGCATATTGGTTAAGAGGACTTGTCACATTTGAAACTATATTTAGTATGTTTATGGAATTTCTTAAGTTAAAGTCAACTAATAATGAGTCATTGACCTAAGTATGTCAAATGATTGAGTGCCAAGATGATTAACACTCATGATACTAGAATATTTTATTGAATCAAATAGAATGATTAATATCTGCTACTAGGTAGCATTTTAAACTATATTATTTTATCATCACAGGGAGTGTCATCAGACCCAAACTTTGTATTACAGTGGAATCCTTTTGTTGATGGTACAAATACTGGCAAGTAAGTTGTTTTCTAACTTAAGAACCATATTTCACTTGATAACATAAAAACAGTATTTGGGGGGTGGGGGTTTTTCTAATAAACTTTCATTTACGTTCTTTAAAAAGTTGCACTATGCCTTTTGTCCATGTAAAGCTTCTGACTTTTTATTACCAAAAATCATCATATATTGATCATTAAGGCTGTTTATTTTTTTAAATCAGAATGTACTACGTATAATGATAAATACCAAAAGATGAGTCACATGATGTAGTGGGGGAAAATACTATACTGGAGTCAAAAGCCCCAATTCCATCTCTCCAGTGTAGTTATTTCAGATCTCTAGAACTGTCTTCCTCAGTAATTAAGACGGCTGACCCAGAGAAGTTGTCCAAATCTATTTGTGCATTGCGGTTGTGTAAAGAGCCCTTCGGAAATACAGATTTCTGGGCCCCCACATTAGACCTATAGGTCCGAGATTAGCAAACTAGTGCCTGTAGACCAAATCCAGCCTGCTGCCTATTTTTATACAGCCTGCAAGCTAAGAATGGTGTTTACATTTTTTAATGCTTGAAAAAAAATCAAAGAAGAATAACATTTTGTGACACATGGAAATTATGTGAAATTCAAATTTCAATGCCCATAAATAAAGGTTCATTGAAATACAGCCACATTCATTTGTTTATATATTGTCTGTGGCTGCTTTCACACTACAGTAGCAGAGTTAAGCAGTTGCAACCACTGTATGGCTACAAAGCCTACCATATTTACTATCTACCCTTTTACAGAAAAGGTTTGCCAACCCCTGCTACAGAATATAGTCTGAAACTGGAATCTAAGAATCTAGAAAGCTTCCCAGTTGATTGCAGTGACTGGATTAGTGGTTCGGATCAGAGGGTTAGAACAGTACTTCTCAAATTTTAATGTGCCTGTTCATCACCTGGAGAGCTTATTAAAATGTAGATCCTGACTCAGTAGGTCTTGAGGCTGCATTTATAAAAGTTTCCAGGTGATGCCAGTGTTGCTGATTTGAGGATCACACTTTGTTGAGTAGCAAATACTTGATGGTATTTAAGGCCTTTAGCCACTGGGATTCCCTCTGGATTCCATCTCTAAAATTCTGAATCTATTTTTTTACTAGTAAGCCTAGGTCTCCTTAAAGGTTTTATACTCTTTACCATGATCTATTCGTCTTTTATGTCCTCGGAATATAAACAGATTTTAATACACATTTAATAGCGTCCTGTGTTTTATAGTCATTTATCACCATCTCAATTGCGTTATTCTCGTGTAGTCAATGTCACTGAACTGTGCATGTAGAAATTTTTGAAATGGTGTATCTTTGGCTGTGTGTATTTTCACCAAAAAAAAAATTGAGAAGTTAGAGGGTTGACATGTTGTGGGGTTGTTAACCAGTGTCATAAAACAATATGTGTACTACTGTTTCATGAGAAACTATTTGTTCTGTAAGCCTTCACCTGAAGTACAATAAAAAAAAAAATTAAATTAAATTGCATTATTCTCTTTGTATTAGATCAACCTCAAAACGTGCAGTACCACCTCCACTACCTCCTAAGGTGAGCTACTTAAGGGTTTGACATTTTCCAAATAGTTTTATTAAATTTGTTCAAATTTCTCTTAAATGTATTTTAGATGAATACAATTTTCTTCTGGCAGGGAGTACAAAGATGTAAAATTATTAAAGTAATTTTTTGTCTTATCATCAATAGCCAAGGATAAACAGTTACCCTGAAGACAGCCTCCCAGATGAAGAAAAATCATCAACCATAAAATGTTGCCCTGATTCAGAGAACAGAGCTCCCCAGCTTCGCAGAAGACAGAGTAGCCCAAGTTGTGGTCCTGCAGTAGAGACTTCCTCTATTGGTATGGCTAGCAGTATCAGCATCCTTGGAGTGCATACAGCTAGATACTGTGACCTGGGTAAATAAAACAAAGTAAACACTGAAAAGAAAGCCAATTTTTTCTATTTAAGAAACGTCTTTTTTTTTTTTCAGTCCGTCTTACTACTGTTGAAATCTTTGTGAAGATTCTTTAATTGCACATGAATGGGCTATAAATACATTCAGTCTAATTCAGCCCTGATTTGATACCTTACTAAAAATTAGAGGATCTAAAAAGATGAATGGATGGTCCTGCTCTCCAGAACTAAAGGGTCTATAGCATGAGTATACCCATACACACATAACATTAGACAAGACAGCTTGTCTCCTACAATAATGAACTATACATAGTAGAAAACCAGAGATTTCTGACGAAGGTAGGATAGGGACTAAAGGAGATGGCCTTCTTGCAGGGTTTTATAGGGCTTGGGCAGCCTTCAGTAGATGGAGCCACTCTGAAAGGCATTCTTGGAGAACAGAAAGAATAGCTAATGTACTAAAGCAGGAAAGTCTGAGTTGTGTTTGAAGTACAGTCCAGTATGGCAAAGTGTGAGCTTTGGAAGGGTATATACTGAGAGTCAAGACTGAAAAGGTGGATTTAAGTTCAGTTATGCAAGGCCTTGAATATTAGCGTCAGTAGATCACATTTCATTTTTCTTACAGTATGGAAAGACGCTTGTTTTCATGGATCAAGACCAGTGCTAAAGATGCAGTGCTACTTCTACAAAAGTAAAGAAAGGCACCAGAAATAAATTAACTGATCTGAGGGTATTGCCCAATAAAGAATTACCCAAGAGGAAAATAAGTAGTAGGAGTAAGGGGAAATTATTTTTTTCAAGAAAAATGTACTTATTCTTATGGTCATTTAACTTTTAAACATGATTCTCTTTAGGAAATGGTGATGGTATTTCAAAACTGATGAGTGAAAATACAGAAGGATCAGCACAAGCACCACAGTTACCACGAAAAAAGGACAAGCGAGACTTCCCTGTAGGTCTAACAGGCATTTTGGTGATTAGTTATAACTAATTCTGTATTTATCATGTAAGGGGAATAATCTATTTAAGAATGTGAATAACTGAATTTCTGAACGTATAAAGACTTTTTTTAAGGTTTAGGAGGTCTTAACAGTATTCAAAATTACTTTTCCCACAGAAATCTGTCATCAATGGCCTACCACCCACCCCAAAAGTACTGGTAAGGAATATTTTTATGTGAACCGTTTGCCATTTATCTCTTCAGAAGCATCGTAAGTTTGTTTTTTTAATAATAAGTATCTTGAGCCATTGAAAGAAAGAGTATCATTAAAATACAAACTGGAACAGTAGACTGTTACAACATAAGGCATTAGATACATTTAGATATACAGTAGGTCAGATCATGTACCCTAATTTGAGTGCTTTGGTTAAAATTTGGAGAATGCTTTACTTTTTATAAATAATAGCAGTTAGTGTCCCAAATTAGCCCACAAAGGCCAATTTAATTTTAATATGATGATGCTAATAGCACTGTGCCATCTTCATTGTGTGGGTTAAATGTCTTTCTGCCCGTGAGGCCATCTTCACATTGGACTACACACTGTGAAAAGGAGCAGGGAAGCTTGTGTAAATGCTTGTTCTCTGGTCTAGTGCTACCCACCTGTGAAGTGGTTCAGCCAATCATGTGAATGGGGTACTGTATAAATTGTATTTTTTTATTCAGTAAAAGTCTAATATATATTATAAATTTTAGTCTTTTTGTCTGTTATCACTATTAAGGAGTTATACCACGATTATAATCACTATATTATTGAATAAAATCATCCATTATTTCACATCAATATATGTTAGTCCTCATGAAAAGCAGTAACTTAAAAGTCCTAGGATGTATCATTGAAATATGTAGATGTTTTGGTATATTTGATATTTTCCCCCAAAATAGTGATCTACAAAAGGAAAGAATATGAGACTCCTTTGATTGAAGGGGTTAAATTACATCAAAATATTAAAATTTTAGTTTTGGATAAAACCACAAGCACCTGCAAATAAGAATAAGTTCGACGTTTCATAATCTTAGCTATTTTTTCTAATAATATATAAAGTTAATAAGTCAACATTTCTCTTTTTATAAATAAGATGGGAGCATGTTTTTCAAAAGTTTTTGATGGCTGCCCTTTGAAAATTAATTGTGCAACATCCTGGATACATCCTGATACCAAAGGTAAAATTTCTGAACTTTTATATACATCTCTAATAAAGTATTTATCATGGGTAAGGATCTTTATGATCATTGAACTGAAGTTGTTTACTTCAAGAATATGACTTTGGAGACAATGGTGTAGGTTCCTGCAACACCCTAAGCAGATAATTATGGCTTTGATTTAAAGGCATTAGAATTTAAATTGTGTAATAACTTAACTAATTAAAGGAGACTAAAGGGACATCACAGCTGATAACAGTCATAATTTTGGATGTTCTTGGACCATTAAAGGACGTTATGGGGACGATTGACAGTCTCAACCAGTAAGGTCTATAGATTAGATAATAGTATTATTCAGTGTTAATTTCCTGATTTTGATGATTGTACTGTAATTATATTTGCCTTTCTTTTTCTTTGTTACGAAATACACACTGAAATATTTAGGCATATAGGGGTATCATGCCTGTAGCTTAAACAGTTCAGAAAAGAGTAATGTGCGTGTGGAGAGAGAAGAATGAAGCACAGGTAGTCAGTGTTAACATTTTGTGGTATCTGTATTAAGGGTATTCAGGGATTCTTTGTACTTTTTTAACTTTTCCATAAGTCTGAAATGATTTCAAAATGACATTTATTTTTAAAATCGAGACTGAAATCATTCTAAAGTGAGGAAGCATATGTAGAGACAAAAATTTGGAATCAAATAAGTCTGGGTTTGAATGCCAGTTCTGTCATTACCATGTAACTTGGAAAACATACTTAACACATCTGATTCTGAGTGTCATCATTTGTAATATGAGTACTCTTAGCACTGATCTTGTTACAAGGAAGAAAGGCGCCTATCTGAGTGTCCAGCAATTAGCAAACAAAGGTTCGGCAATAGAGATTGTTCAGGAAATGTTTGTTTCCCCTTCAGTACGGTAATAAAAACAGGACATAAAATGATCTGTTTTAAATGCCCCTATTGTTGTTGTTTGTTCGTTGCTATCAAGTCGGTTCCCAGCAGCTGGTGGATTCAAACTGCTGACCTTTTGGTTTGCAGCCGTAGCTCTTAACCACTGTGCCACCAGAGCTTCAGAATGCCCTATAAGAAAGTATAAACAGAAAAAATGTATTTTAAAAGTAAGAAGATGGTTTATTTTTTGCTTGTAACTTTTAATTGTTATATAATTTCAAACTTACAGAAGAGTTACAAAAATAGTACAGGGAATTCCCATATACCTTCTTCTCAGATTCACCGATTATTTCTACTTTGCCCCATTTTTTTAATCATTATCTATGTCTATGCATTTTTTTCCGAATCACTGAAGAATGAGTTGGAGACGTGTTCTTTCCCTTATACTTCAGCGTGTATTTTCTAGGAACAAGAATGGTCTCAAACATAATCACAGTATATTTATAAAGATTAGAAAATTTGACATTGATGTAATACTATTTTCTAATCCATAGTCCCTATTCAAATTTTATTAATTGTCCCAATAATGTCCTTTATAGTCTCCCAAGCCTTTCCCCCAGTGTAGCATCCAGTTCAGGGTGGTCATATGTTGCCTTTGGCTACCATGTCTCTTTAGTCTCTTTTAATCTGAAATAGTTCTCCTTAGTCCTTCTTTGTCTGTCTTGATCTTGGCATTTCTGAGGCCATTTATTTTGTATAATATCCTTCAATTTGTGTTTATCTGATGTGTTCTCCTGCTTAGATCAGGTTATGCATTTTTTTGGCCAAACTATCACAGAAGTGTTTTTGTGCCCTTCTCAGTACATCATATCAAGAGGCACATGATAGCAGCTTGTCCAAATACTGGTGATATTGACATTGATCATTTGGTTAAGGTGGTGTTCGCTGGCTTTCTCCACTGTAAAGTTACTATTGTTCCCTCAAATTAATAAGTAATTAGTGGGGAGATAAATTGACTGTATATTTTCTTGCTTAACAGACTTTCACCCATTAGTTTTAGCATCCACTGGCAGTTTTTAATTCCATCATTGCTTTTATATTTACTGAAGGAAAGCTTTCCTTTCTCTCCTGTCTATTCACTTATATACTTACATCAGTTTGAATTTACGAATTCTTATTTTATTCCATAAGGTATAATCCATTACTATTATTATTTATTTTAATGCGTAAGTTGTTCCAAATTTTTTGACCAGTGGGACTGCCTGTGTTCTTTTGTTTGCTACATCTTCATTTTTTGAGCTCTTCCTTACTTTGTGGCACAAGAAGATTTCTAGGCTCATCTTGTACTTCCTCGCCCCAGAATCGGGATCATTCTTTTCTCCAAGAAGCTTTGATTCCTGTTAGTGGAAATAGTATTTAGAAACCAAAATCTGGGTACTAGATGTGCTCTTTGTTACTGGTGGTGTCATGATTTATAATTTATATTTAATATATTATTTCTTTGTTTAAATGAGCATTTATTTGAAGGGTCTTACAAAATATATATAACTATAATAAAAAAGTTAAAATATAGAAGTGTTGAAGGGAGAGGGTTGGATAGTAAGAAAAAGTGAGAGTGAGTTAGTCTAACAGAGAATATATCTACTTTTAAATGATAAGAATTGGGGAAAAAAGTAAAGAAGGTGGCATGAATTTTAGAAAATAACTTTTCATTGGATGAGTGGGTAGCTAACTCTTAATACCATTAAAACATAAAACCATTATTTTAGTGAATGATTTCAGAAAATAATAGTATATTCTGGTAATTTATCTCACCTGCTTTAGATCAATACATTATTTTTGGAACTGAAGATGGTATTTACACATTGAATCTCAATGAGCTACATGAGGCAACAATGGAACAGGTAATTACGAGTTTTAATTTAAGAAATTAATTTGAACAAATTTAATAAAAGGTATATCTTCATTTTATGTGTGTCTCAATTTTAATTTTTATGATTTTAGTATATAAAGGAGTAATATCATACTCTTTATATGTTCATGTTGAAAGATATTTTTTCTAAGGTCTTGGTAATTTACTAAAAGATAGAATATAGTTATTTTTATACCATTTCAGAATATTGGAATTTGGAGGTTAAGGAATAAAGGAATAATAATTGGAGGATTTAATTATCATCTTTTTTTTTTTTAAGTTATTTCCTCGGAAGTGTACTTGGCTATACGTTATCAATAATACTTTAATGTCATTATCAGGTATGTATACTATGATTAAAGATAAACCATAAACATATGCATTATTTTTAAGTGTTATTTGTGTTCTGGGTAAGTATAATCCAGGGCTTCAAATGAGTTCATTCTGATTGGAACCCATGCTGAGAATTTGCATTTCTATTCCCAAATATACTGAATCAGAATCTACATTTTAACAAGATCCCCAGTTGATTCTTCTTTTTTTTTTAAATTGTGCTTTAGGTGAAGGTTTACAGAGCAAATCAGTTTCTCTTTAAACAATTAATACACATATTGTTTTGTGACATTGGTTGCCAACCCCGCAACGTGTCAGTGCTCTTCCCTTCTTGACCCTGGGTTCCTCACCCATTCGTCCAGCTTTCCTGTCCCCCCTGCCTTCTCGTCCTCACCCTTGGGCTGGTGTGCCCAGTTAGTCTCGTATACATGGTTGAGTTACGTGTATTATTGTTTGTTTTACGGGCCTGTCTAATCGCAGTTGGAGCCTTGGTGGCACACTGGTTAAGAGCTATGGCGAGCTACGGCTGCTAACCAAAGGTCGGTAGCTTAAATGCACCAGCCGCTCCTTGGAAATCCTATGGGGCAGTTCTACACTGTCCTGTTGGGTCTCCATGAGTCAGAATCAACTCAACGGCATTGGGTTTTTTAATCCCAGTGGATTCTTACGTATGTATAGTAAATTTTGAGAACCACTTCTCTACTGGAAGCGAGCCCTGGTGGTACAGTGGTTAAAGTGCTCAGCTGCTAACCAGAAGGTTGGCAGTTCAAACCCACCAGCCACTCAGCAGGAGAAAGATGTGGCAGTCTGCTTCCGTAAAGATTAATAGCCTTGGAAACCCTATGGGGCAGTTCTGCTCTGTCCTGTAGGGTCACTATGAGTCAGAATCGACTTGGCAGTGAGTTTTGGGTTTGCTTTACTAGTGGTTCTCAGAATTTATCCCTAACCAGCAGTAGATAGTATTCTAACAAGTATGGAAACTTGTTAAAAATGCAAATTCCCAGCAGGGGTTTGAACCAGACGGAACCAAACAGGTTTGAAGCCATGTTATAATCTAGTACGGAAACTTTGGGACTTCCAGATGTTTTCTGTCAACTTAAAGCAGGAAGAAACTTTGAGAACAGACCCTGTCTTTAGTTAGGGCAGTACTTCCCAAACCCACCCAGCATCTAAACACCTTAGGGGCATCACAGTGATTGTCACCTGGGGCCATGACCTTTCACTCAGCCTCTTCTACCATCACTACCATCACCCCTGCCCTTCACTGAGAATTACCAGTTAAAGGGAAAGAATCAGATGATCAGACTGCTTCCTTTCTGTGTTGTCTTGATAAAGTCACTTCACCTCCATAACCCTACAGTTTTCTTAATTTAAGATGAGGTTGATGGTGATAACAGCCTTACCAGGTTGTTGTGAGGATTAAATGAGATGATATCCAAAAGTGCCTGGTAAACTGTGAAGTCTTATACAGTTGTTTGCTGGTGGGATTCATGTTGTTCTGGACCCCATATTAACCATCTTAGACTGGTGCTATAAAGTCTTCTAAACAATGAAGTCCAGAACAACTTAGTCTAGTTTTGTGTGTGTGTGTTTTCTTTTTCTGGTTATGGTGGTTGGTTGGGAGGTGTTTTAGGCTTTTTTTTTTTAATTCTTACCTACCCAAAAATATATTCTTACATTTTAGATTTAAGTGGCTACCTAGAGATTTGCTGTTTGCTTTTGTGCTGATAGTAGAGTACAAGATAGTTAATTATTGTTTCTCTCTGTCCCTTAATAAATCCTAATGCTGTCAGCTGTTAAAATAGCATTCACCCCTTTCTCCGTGTTAAATAATTAAATTATTTTAGTGTTCTTTATTTTTCAGTTCTTTTGTTTGGTGCCTTCTTGTGTTTTACATCTCATTAGATTTGTGAGGATTATATTCTGGCTCTTACTTACCACATTGTCAAGCTTTCCAGTACTGAGTGTACCTTTTCATCTATTTACGCTCCAAAGCACCAGTGCTGTCATACAGTGTTACTCCCTAATAGGTAGTCATTATGAATTATAGTCTGATTTAAGAAATGTCATTTTATTTCATAATTTTAAGTGTTTGTACATATAAATAACTTGAACTCTACCACTAACCATTACCTGGCAGAGATTCTTCAGAAATTTGTGTATTTGAGCTGATGACTGTATTTATACCAAAAAAAAAACAAAGCCTATTTTCATCAAGTCTACTGACTCATAACAACCCAACAGGACAGAGTAGAACTGGCCCATAGGGTTTCCAAGGCTGTAATCTTTATGGGAGCAGACTGCCACATCTTTCTCCTGAGGAACAGGCTGATGGGTGCAGACTGCCAACCTTTTGGTTAGCAGCCAAGTGCTTAACCATTACACCACCAGGACTCCTTGACAGTATTTATAAAGAGCATATTATTTTTGCCATGAGACCGGAAGAACTGGATAGTGCCTGGTTACCATTACTGAACATCTTGATCAGAGATTCTGTGTAAGAATCCTGATCAAAAGGGGGAAAACAGAATAGAATTTCAAATTCTCATAGAATCCAGACTTTCTGGAACCATGAGAGCTGGATGAACCCCTGAAACTTTTGCCCTGAGAGAATCTTAAAACTTAAACCAAAAATATCCCCTGAAGTCTTCTTAAAACCAAATAATAGTTTAGCTTAACTAGTAAAAATGTCTACCTTGAGCATTATGCTCTTTTAAGAACTGTCTGTATGGGATCAGAGTGACAACAGCAACTTGAAAGATTAGATAGGTGCCTTAGGGGGCAGTAATTTGTTACTTGGGGAGGAACAACTTGGAAAAGGAGGGTGAGACTGGTATTTTAAAAAATTTGTAATTTTTTTAAAAAGCATATTATTTGTGCGTAAATGACTTCTAAAAAGCAGGAGTCCTCAAAAGAATACTTAATCTGTTTGATTTTACTTATGCATGCCCCCAGATTTTTTTCTTTTGTTTAGTAAAATGTAAATATATTGTATTGCTATTTTGAAAATAAACCCAGTTCTGTTTAATAAGCTTAAAAACCATATATGTCTTTGGCTGCCTATCTAGCCAGCTAGCAACCAGTCTATATATATAGGGGAGAAGAAAAGAGGAAGGGTGGTGCTTTATTAGGCAGAATGTTTTTAAACTGAGAAAGCAGAGAATCTTGTTGAGGATAAGATACTGTGTTTGTGTGTTTTTTAATAATAAAAGGATACTCTTGTTGTGTTGTATTACTGTACCATAGTAATTAGGAGTCAGAAGATGTTTACCATATCTTCTCCTGCTGAACATGGCTATATTTTTGATTATATGAAAATTGTAGCCCGATTATGCTTCTATTATGGGTTGTAATATTGGTTTGCTTTAGTTTTCTTGGTATTTCAGTCTTTTATACTTAAGACTTTATTCATAATCACTTTTAATATAAGGTAATTTGTATACCTATTGATAAATAGCTCTGTCCCAGAGTTTTTATAGAATTTCCCATGTTTTACTAAAAGAATCAAATGTGCATTATTGTAACTCAATCCCTGATGTAAGATTTTGTACCACAATGTTTAACAATTTCTCTTTCTATGCTAGCATTATTAAGGTTTACATATATTCTGCCCAGATCACTTTTTAAAGTCAGAATATAACTAATTTGTGTTTTATGAAACAAAATTATCTACTCTCTTAAAAAATCATTTTACCTATTTTTGCCTTTCAAAATAGTATTAACTGGGTTTTTTTGTATGTGTTTTTCTATTTTACTTGGCTTTTTGAACATTTCTGGACTCCTCATTTTAGAAGGTAATTATATTTTCTTTTACTTGAAAATTGTATTTCTCTGCTGTAAATGATTCTAATGAAAGTAACATGTTTCTTTTTTATAGGAAAAACCTTTCAACTCTACTCTCATAATCTTATAGCTTTGTTTGAACAAGCCAAAAAACCAGGATTAGCTGCCCATATTCAAACTCATAGGTTTCCAGACCGCATACTACCAAGGTACAAAATAACATTTTGATTCTACTGGGAATGAGAGGAATTAGTGTCTATCTTTAAAACTGCGTATTTTCCTTACCCAGTAAAAATACTTCTTTAATCTTAATTTTGAAAAGAGTTTACAGTAAAATATATGTCATCTAGAATGCAAAACAGTAGTGGTTCCTAAAGTTGACTGTTCTTGGGAATCACCTGTAGAACTTTTAAAATACAAATTCCTAAGCCTTACCCCAGTCCTCTAAAATCAGATACTCTATATTCAGAGTCCAAGACTGATTTTTTTTTTTTTTAAGTTCCTTGGGTGATTCTGATGCAGCTGATTCACAGGTCACTATTTGGCAGCCACTATAGTAGAGTACATTTATATTGTCTTCTGTTTTCAGAAAGTTTGCTTTAACAACCAAGATTCCCGATACAAAAGGCTGTCACAAATGTTGCATAGGTGAGTAAATGCTATTTATCAAACTGGATGGTTAGAACTTTCGACATCTTTAAAATTATCTGAAGCGTCTTCGAGAATTAAATAGGAAGGAGGGAAAGTTTTTTGTTTTTAGTAAGAGGTTAAGGGCCCATTGGGAGCACAAGAATATATAGAGAGGGACATGGAATAAAAATGCTGGGAGACAATAGACTTAGTGTTTTCCTTAAGCATAGCTTTCCTAAAGCTTTTTAACCATCGTCACTGAGGCTGTATCTCTGCTGATGTCCTGGCTTTCGGTTATTCAGCCCTTGTTGTTGTGTGCCGTGGAATCAAGTCCAGCTCATAGCGACCTAGTGTGACAGAGTAGAACTGCCTCATAGGGTTTCCTAGGCTGTAATCTTTATGGAAGCAGTTTGCCAGGTCGTTTCTCCCGCAGAGCCACTGGTGAGTTTGCACTGCTGATCTTTGATTAGCAGCCAAGTGCTTAACCATTGCAGGGCTCTTTATTCAACCCTTACCATGTACGAATTATTGCTTTGTGCTTGTGAACATTATCTTATTTAATCTTCAAAGCAACTTGTCATGTTACTAGTAAATAACAGAGCCTGGAGTCAGACCCAAGTCCGATGGCTTCAGATCCTGTGCTCCTAACTTCTGTTTATCCTTTTCGTTAATATTTAAGAGCTTACACATTGATCTTCATGCTACATAATAGTTTCATATTCACTAGAACAGAAACATTTAAGCACGTACCTCCTACAATTGTAAGTAAATTTTGTGAATGTTTTCCTAGGGAGAAATTGGTTCATATCTGTTTCCAAGACCTCAAAAAACGTCTGGAAACTTACAGTATAAGATGTAAACTCATAAATGAGAGAATGCTTGTTTTAAATTACTACTCTTTTAACCAGTATATGTTATTTTCATTCTGAGTCAAGTTGGGGAAAAGGAAAGACCAAAATGAGTTTTTGTAAATTTAAGTCAAGGAACTTATATCTTTAGTGAGCTGTTAAGCAATTAATTATTTTTATCTTGTCTTAGATAGATGTAAACTACTACACCAAAAATGAGACCATAGATTTTAATTCTTGCCAGTATTCATGCTTTCAGTCAATTTACTCAAGAAGCAGCTCTTTAGAGTGTTTATAGCATTTAAAGTATTGTTTTTGTGTTTAAGAATCTAGTTTGTATAAGGTTTTTAGAAATAAGATGTATATAACTTAAAATAGAGATAAGCAAGTTAAAGATGAAAGGATAACAAAGCCAAAAGAAAAAAAAAAATCAGCTTTCTTTCCTTTCTGCCCACTCACTCTTGTCATCCTAATGAACAAAAACAATATTTTTTCCTCTATCAGCTAAACCACTTCAGATAGTTTCTTCTGTACATATTTTTGTATCAATGTCAGGCCACATTCCATTGGTTTTTTTCCTCCTGTCAGCACTGAATTTAGAAAGAAAGCTAGGGTAGCTTTTAGGTGAATATAGCTCATTTGTTACTTTTAACTAATTATGTTTTTCATATAAAGGCATTCAATGTTTTGGGTCTGTATGTTTGTTTTCTTTTCAGTCAGAAACCCTTACACAGGACATAAATACCTCTGTGGAGCTTTACAGTCTGGAATTGTTTTACTTCAGTGGTATGAGCCAATGCAGAAATTCATGTTGATAAAGGTATATACTACTTAGGCTTACATTTTTCTTTGGTAGAAAATACTAGTTTATAACTGAAGCTAAAAAATTATAAGAACTACAATCTAGGGTCAGCACATTTGTAGTTATTTATAGATATTTGTTTGAATTAAGAATTTTTGTGTTCTTTTTAAGAGTTCCTCTTTAACTTATAGTTAATAAACTTACAGAAACATTACAACCATAAAGATAATACGGCCAATTCTCTGAAACATTCATCCCTATGATTATTATCTTAAAGGTAGTCCTTTTTAGAATTAGATAGATTAAAACAAAAAAAAAAAGGAAGCCTTTCTGTTGATTTTATTCAACAATAGCATGAATGGGGAGACTGTTTCTAAATTATAGTTCTGTCTTATTTTTTGCAGCACTTTGATTTTCCTTTGCCAAGTCCTTTGAATGTTTTTGAAATGCTGGTGATACCAGAACAGGAATATCCCATGGTTTGTGTAGCTATTAGCAAGGGCACAGAATCAAATCAGGTAGTTCAGTTTGAGACAATCAACTTAAACTCTGCATCTTCATGGTTTACAGAAATTGGTTCAGGTAAGTGTTTTTTACCTTATGTTAGAATATTCATGCTTTTGCATGCAAAAGAAACAAAAAGAACAAGTTCAGCTAGCTTGGACTCCTTTAAATAAAGATTCAGTGCATAGTTTCCTAAGTAAGCCCAGAGAATCATGAACATATAGTGTATGAATCTCTATTTGCCAGAGGCAATTTTATACAAATTATTTTACCAAGGAAAATTTTAATGATTCCTAACATTTGCGGGTCTTAGTTGTTATCAGTTCATCTCTGGGCTTGCTAAATAATTAAGTTTTTTAAGTTATTTTTCAAATTTTATCAGCTTCTCAAGCAAAGAAGTTTACCTTTTTTCTTATCACTGCTCTCTTTATTTCCCTCACTTTGAATCACTGACTGTGCTTTTCAGACTTGAATAGAAAGAAGCTTCTCAGGTGTGGCCTGCAAGCTTTGCCATTTAAATATGCAAGGAAATGTCTCCTGCACTTTCCAAATGAGAACGATTAGTTAGCCTAGGATTTTATCAAATATGTCTCAATGAAGCCTCAGGAAAGACTGGAAGGTTTATTTTCAAATTTAAAATTGGAACAAATCAATCAAGAATTTGCTTTTAAAATCTGCATAAGAAGGGAAAGGAGGGGGGTTTCACTTACAGTTTCCTGCTTATGCTGGTATTTGATTAGTTGCAATTCCAGGTTTATCAAGCCATTTTTACATATGAAATCAAGCAAGCTTTAGTTGTGGCTATTTCATTGCTGACCACTATTATATTCCTTACTGTCCTGTGCAGAAATCCCTTACAAGTATCTTTTTTATTAAATATGTTTTGACTTTTGATCAATTATAGGCTGTTTTAGTTTCTTAGTGCTGCTGTAACAAAAATACCATAAGTGGGTGGCTTTAACAAACAGAAATCTATTTTCTCACCGTGTAGGAGGCTAGCATTACAAATTCAGGACACTTGCTCTAGGGGAAGTCTCTGTCTGCTCAGAGGGAAAATCCTTGTCGCAGCTTTTCTAGCGTGTTTTTCACCGTTCCTTGGATATCTTCTCGGGGCATCTATCTTTCCTTCATTCATGCTTGCTTGCTTCAGTGCCTGTCTGCTCTTTTATACCTCAAAAGTGATTGGTTTAAGACACACTCTACACTGATAGGACCTCATTAACATAACAAAAAAAACCCTATTTCCAAATGGGATTACATCCACTGATACACCAGTCCCACTGCCTTCCAGTGGATTCGGATTCACACCAACCCTCAAGGACAGAGTAGAACTGCCCTATACGGTTTCCAAGGCTATAAATCTTTACAGAGCAGACTGTCACATCTTTATCCCCTGGAGCGGCTAGTTGGTTTAAGCCACCAACCTTTCAGTTAGCAGCTGAGCACGTTAACCACTTCACCACCAAGGCTCCCTATCCACAGGTATCTAGGTTAGGATTTACAGCACATATTTTTGGAGGACAGAATTCAACCCATAACACAGGCTAAATTGTAAGAAGTCATTATGGAACCCAGCTATGGACAATAATGTAGAATCCACCCTAATGTCACTTTCAGAATAAGAATCGGTATGAACTAGTGGGGTCCTAGTAAATGTTTAACAACAGGCTCTTGAGGTGCACAGAAGGCTGATTTGTAGCAGTTGCCTATTTCTGTGGTATAAATACTCCCACCGTGGCCAGTTTGAAGACACCAACCTGACATCAACTGGTTCACAAAATTCCTGAAAATTTAAGAACCCAGTACAAGCCAGCTTCAGTATTCACTGGACTGTGAACACTCTTTATGGACCAAGTCATAATTTCCAGTAGAGTTAAATAGGAATGTATTCTGTACCTTCACACGTCCACTGGCACCCTGGCCTTTTTAATTTATTGTTTAATGCTTTTGGATGCATGTATTCCTGCTACAACAAACTGGTACAAATGACAATAGTTTTATTATCATGAAATTGTAAGCAGTCCAAATAGAAACATATCCCTGTTAAATAGTTACTGCTAAAAAGAAGGGTTATAGATAAATTTATTTAAAACCAAGATCATTTTTAGCAAACAGCCCCAACTTTTTTTTTTCCTGGTTAGTATATAATACTATAGAGCAAGTCATTTCATACAATTATCCAATGTGTGTTTTCAGCCACTTTCTTCTGCTAACTTTAGCAGGTTACATGTTCAGAGCTAGATATTTGATGAGTCTTCTTTTGAGTTTTGAGGGTTTTTTTTTTTTTTTCAATGCCTGAGGTATACTATTCCCCAATTATAATGACTATGCTAAAATTAAAACAGACTCAAAATTACTTCCGGAGGAGGGCCAGGAGCCTGCCTGAAGGTAATTGTTCCAGTCACCCTAAAATAGAGGCGCAGTAGCCTTTCTAGTCCTGCACTTTAGCCCATTAGGCTTCTCAGTTTTCACAAGTTGTTGCTAATCCAGCTCCCACCTGTGTTGCTTGTTAAAGCACATGCCTATGCCTTGAACTGGCAACAGTAACAGCTAAAATGTGCTCCTACTCCAAGACTCTTTTTGTCTTCATCTGATTTATTATAGCTGTAGACTGTAATTCTCATCTCTTAGAATGGTGTTTAACATATCGTGAGCTCTCAGTAAATATTTGTGAATTAATGCATGAACATAGATTAGCTGAGAAATACTATTGTTTTAGAGAGTTGCCTGAGGGACAGTTTATGGATTCTGTAGATCTGAATTCTTCAGATAGTGGGCTTTGGAAGATCCACCGACACCCTGAAATAATATCGTTGAGCCAAGGTCTGAGGTCACCAAGAAAGACATGATGTACAGGCACTAGTGGAAACATTGCTTTTTTCACATAGAGAAGAGTCAGAGCAAGGTCATTTTCAATAGAGGATGCTAGTCCCCCATGGCCAGTAGGTCGCTCCCTGCAGGCAACACAGGGCTAGTTGTCTGCATGTACCCCTCTAGTGCTGCAGATGACAGACACTATTCCCTCCCCACAGGATCAGATATAGAAATGGAGTTGGCCAGGTGCTACATGATATGCATACATAAGCAGAGCAGAGAGAGTTTTCTGTGTACCCAGAACAGGGAGTGAGTTTTCCAATAAGAAGAAATTGGGAGAGGGAAAGGGGCTGTGTTACCAGCCTCTGTTATCAGGCCCAAGGCTTCTGATAAGGCATCCCAAATGGGAGTCAGAGGCTGTGCGACAGACTGCTTTCTTATTTTTCCAATATATAAAAATTTTGTGTTTATAGTCGAACATGCATTTTTCAAGGTTAGAGGATCCATGGACTTCCCAAAGGAAGCACTGCTCTGAACTAAAATCTGTTCTTCAATTCAGACAGACCATTCACTAGATCTGAGTGCCTACAATGAACGTTTTGCAAAAATACCATGACATCTTTTAGCAGATGTTAAAATAAGCAGCCCTATGAATATCAGCAAAATGATGAGAACTGTTTCTTGCAGAGATGTTGTGAGCAATATTATTCTTTGTTACTCAGTGTCCTCTTTTTAAAGGACCTTCTATCACCACCACCACCTCACCCCCTGTCCCTGCCACACACACCCCAATACCAGGAAAAATTTCTCTCTGACCATAGTATCATTAATACTTTTGCTTTTTCTGAATGACTGGGTTTTCTTTATCCAAGGAACACTGTAACTTGCCTAACTGATCTTACTTCCGTATTCCCACTGGCACTGTAAAGCGCAGAGCAAAATCTAGCCATTGTATAGTATGCATACTTTCCTTCCCATATTTATACTCTTTCCCTCATTTTATCTTTGTAACTCACCTTTCTAGAATTGGCTGAGATATTAATTAAATGAAATATTGAGCTCTTCTCAGCTCAATTAGGACTTATAAGTTGTTCTTCCTAATTTGACTTATACTTGATTTTTGAAAATATAACTATTACTACAAAATATAATTTCTGAGTTAGATTTCAAAGTCAGAGCAAAAGTCAGAGTTTGTGTTTCCTAGGTTTTAGTTTTTTAAGCGGTGTTACATGACTGTAACCTTGTTATTTTTCCCCTAGGCAGCCAACAGTTAGATTCCATTCATGTAACACAGTTGGAGAGAGACACAGTTTTAGTGTGTTTAGACAGTAAGTACTATTTTAAAGTTTATTTGGAATAGATACTTGATATAACAATTCTTTTAATGGAATTGATTCTATTAAACTATAATTAAAGATTGTCACTTTTCCACCTTAACTGGCCTTATTCTACTGAAGTAAAACCTGAATTGGCTACAGATACAGTAATTAATTGATCTGTTTGTCAGTACTACCCTCTGTAACTTTTTTCTTTATTTCATGTTGACCTACTTGGAAACACTGTATAAGAATGGTTTGCTGTAATCTCAGGGTAAAATTTTGCATAAAACTATTTCATCCCATACCTCATTATAATTAATGAAAAAATAGAAGGTTATACTAATAAGGTCACTTATAATCCTATAACATGAACTTTTGGAATCTCATGAGAGTGAGATTCTAATGTCTTTATGAATTTAACACCTCCACCTCTTGGATGTAGTTCTTTTGATGCAGGGAGAGATGTTACTGATGGAAATGAGCTGTACTGTAAACAGTAGAGGCAGGAAAAACTTTAGCAACAGGTATTATCTCAATTTTCCAAGCAAAGTACTCTGGTTCTTAAAACCAACCTTATTTTCATGGAATAAATTCTGTAAATTGAAATTCACCCAGATTGGGATTATTTTTGAAATTTAGCAATATTTGCTGTGATCAATCCATTCCTTTTTCTTTTTTTCCAGTATTTGGACCTGCCCATAGGTATTCAGGATTGTTCTAAATACTGATTTTGCATCTATTTCTGTTTTCTGAAGAGTTCCCTAATAGATTTACCTTATACAATCATAAAGATCATCTAATATTATAGACAAGTAAACCAAAACCCACAGTGTTTCGTCCATTATCTCTTTTTTAGGTACTTTTGATTCTCTGAATAAGGAGAAGATTGGAGTGTTATTATGTTACCATTCAGTGAATTTGATAAATTCTTCTTTTATCCAAACAAGTTCAGTACTGATTAACCAAATAGTCAGATAATCTGAATTTATTTTAATAATGCAGAACCTTTAATGTGAAATCCTTAAATAGCTTCTGAGTCATCAAAGAAAAATAAGTTGTGTGTAGTTTTCATTTGAGTAGTTTATATATTTATGAAAATTCTTTCAAAACCTTTGACTAACTAGGCTGTTTCTCCCAATTATTCAAGGTAAACAGAATATTTACTTTCTTGAGATTTCTGTTTTTTAAGGAGGCAGAAGACAACTTCAGTTGTTGTTAGCTATACTATTTATAAATCAATTTCAGTAAGCAACAATGGAGATAGGCCTGTAATCACAAATCATGGCAGTAGATAAAGGAGAAGCAGTGCAGAAGAGAAAGCATCTTTATGTCAGAGTTAAGATGGTGAAATTAAAAAACAAATGGACTAAAGGGAAATGGAATTAATTATGTACACTCCTTATCCTCAAGTTTACTTCTAGAGAAATTGTGACCCATGAAGTACTATTTCTTGCCTCTGTGGACCTTTGTAGAATAGTACTCATATTAATTGAAGTTACTAATTACTGTAGATATTACTCATCATATGTTGTATTATTTGTAAGGGTAAAATCAACTCTTATTGTAAATATTTGGGCACCAAGGCAGCCTGTTTTAAAGAACTGTACTTTTAAAAAATGAGAATATAAATGTTCAATATATGCTCTATAAAAAAGAAAATAATACCAGTAAAACTGCCATTTACCAAAGGAGTCACTTTTATAGTACATCTTTTAAAATATATAAATAGCAATTTTTCACTGGCCATACTTGGATCAAGAAAATAGTTGACACCCTTCAGCCAAAGATCAGACAGCCCCATAAAACAGAATGAGACTAATGGGGCACAACACAGCCCAGGCACAAGGACTAGAAGGCAGGAGGGGACAGGAAAGCTGATAATGGGGAACCCAAGGTGGAGAAGGAAGAGTGTTCACATGTCGTGGGGCTGTTAACCAATGTCATAAAACAATATGTGTACTAACTGTTTATTGAGAAACTATTTGTTCCAAGTTACATTTGTTTTGGCAGATTTGCATTTCCAGTCTTGATTTGTTTTTTTTTGTTTGCTTGTTTGTTTTGTTTTTGTTTTTTTGTTTTTTCATTTTTTTAAAGAATTTGTAAAAATTGTAAATCTACAAGGAAAGCTAAAATCAAGTAAGAAACTGGCCTCTGAGCTAAGTTTCGATTTTCGCATCGAATCTGTAGGTAAGTCTCCTCTTTTTATTAATGAGTTTGGAATACCTGTTTTATTGCTCATTCTATATTTAGGTTTGTCTGGACCAGCACTGTCTAATAGAAGTTTTTCTGTTATGATAGAAATGTTCCATATTTGTGGTCTACAGTACAATAGCCATTAACTGCATGTGACTGTTGAGCATTTGAAACATGGATAGTGCTACATTTAAATTTTAAATTTTAATTTAAATAGCCACATGTGGCTACTTAATTAGCTACTATATTGGACAGCGCAGGTCTAAACCACAATAAATCTTTTATTGTAGTTTCCTAAGTATTTAAAACTTGAAATCATTTTTAAAATTTCTATTCATTATTCCCTTTGCTACATCAAGTGAATTATACGTCTCCCAATTCTTTCCAAATCATGAGGTTATTTGTGTGATGTGATTAACAATGTTAGGTGTATTGTAATTCTTTGGTATGTAAGATACTGGTTGGTGTGTTATTGGTTATTGCTTTTTAGGTCTGTTTATATATAAATAAATAGTTTCCCACAGGACTTGGAGACTAATGTGCCGTTTTAGCTTGTTTCTTTGTCAATGAGTGTTTTACTCTGTAATATCCATTGGTTTTGTGATAAAAAAGATCATTGTTTATGTCTCATTGATTATATGTCAGTAAGTTCTTTCCCTGGAGGTAGTAGAACTTGTGAAAAAAATATCTTGGCTGGAAACATTTTGAACAATTTATATGATATGATTCTACCATAAGTCAAAAACAGAGTTAAAACAAAGTTGGCCATTTTTATTTGGACCATGAAAATGTATGGATTTTATAATTAAATGT